AACTCGCGCTAAAACCACATTATGTAATAATTGACACTAAATGTAATAAAAGTCTTTAATGCATTATGTAGTAACTTTATTACATTTTTGCGGCAATTGTTACGAAATGTGGTGGTGTAATAATCTGGTGCATTATGTAATAAATAATCAAAAACCAGTGTTTTTGTTCATCCTAATCAATATAATTGTAATAACTGTCATGTTGAAAATACTCCATAATTAAATCTTTATAACTTTGGTCAATAAACACCGAACTTCTCATCTTTTATTTGCATTTTCAATCAAATTCTTGTGTATATGGATGTATAGAGCAATTTCACAAATTTTTTTGTTTCATGTTTTATGGAATCTTTCAAAAACTTAGTTTCGAATTTATTCAACATGTCAGAGCCTGTAAGATGTTCAAAAAAAAAAAACAATTATTAACATCAAATATCCACTTCCAACCCACTCTATTGCTAAAAACAAGTTCTTCGACCCTCATTTCCTTCTGATATAGAAGCCGACAGTCCGCGTGCACTCCTCCGCGGCAGATGGTCCACCTGCACACACCCCACCCCCGGGTGTGATTAATACAGATTAATTTTAATTTTTTTACAAAAATTACAGATTTTTAAGGCTCATTATAAAGGTAAACATCTGAAGAGGTTGACGTATGTACAACAAACTTTTAGATATATTTTAGGAGTTGTCTACAAAGTGGAATCATTTCTATAACACGGATCTGGACAGTATGTCTGAAAATGCAAATAAATAATGAGAAGTTCGGTGTTTATTGACTAAAGTTATAAAGATTTAATTATGTAGTATTTGCAACATGACAGTTATTACAAGTACATTGATTAGGATGAACAGAAATACTGGTTTTTGATTATTTATTACATAATGCACCAGATTATTACACTACCACATTTTGTAACAATTGCCGCAAACTGTAATAACGTTACTGCATAATGTGTTGAAGACTTTTATTACATTTTGTGTCAGTTATTACATAATGAGGTTTTAGTGTGAGTTTATTACATTTTGAAGCCTGATTTTATTACATTATTACATAATGCGTTGTTATTACAAAATGAGGTCTTACAAGGCGCTGATCTCAATGGGATGTGCCTGGTTAAACAATGGTGAAATATAAATATGTAAACTACCTGTGACATTAGGATTTCCGTTTAAAACATGCACATTTTGCATAAAAATACATACTTTTATGACCAAACTGTGATGTGATGGAAAACAATAAAAGCTTTAAATAGCCAATATATTCAGAACTTTATTGTTGCTGCTTGCCTTGTTTTTCACAGCAAGTAAGAGCGACTATCTGTAGACAAATACAAATGACAGAAAGAAAAGGTCTAGCGTAAAATACGACAATTCATCTATCTGCTATTGGAAAAATCTGCTATTGATCTATCATCCACAGCAAATGCCTTTTCACTTCAAACAGCAGGAGTCAGAGAAAACAGATTTCTGCGTGTGTGAGGTGAAATAAAAATGTGTTTTTGACAGTTCAGCTGATTAAGGTGCTAGCAGTGAGGAGGAGGGAGGAAGTTTAGGAGAAAAAAAAACATAGCAGAAAACTGAGTGGGAGATAAAATGATTTATGGGAGATCTGAAAGGAGAGATAAATGGCAGCCAAAATATCAGATTGCAAGCCGGAGCAAAATAAAGCAGGTGATTAGTGTAGAAGGAGGGAGGAAGGGATGATGTGATATCTTCAGACGTGCCTGTCTTCCTCTCTCGTTCCAAACGTCTCTGCTTTCAGTCACACGTGTGCAGATGCGAGCGGATAAAGGACAAGCAAGCGAGCGATGTGCAGTAATTCCAGCTTGTGCGCTCGGAGAAGCGATGACTGTATGTAAATTACACTGGAGTGGATTTTATGTCGCTGTATCAAGTTGTCATAAACTCGTTTATCAGGCAGACAAAGCCATATCACTGTGAAACATCTGCCACAACTTCAGCTGCTTTTTCATCTTTTTTTCTTTTTTCTTTAGCTTTATGCTTTGCTACATTTTTTTTCTTCTGTTCCTCTCTCTAGTTTTTGATCCACTTTAGATTCTCCCCTTATCTGAAAGTGGGTTTAAGCAACGTCCTGCTGTTCTGGCACATAGCTAATGGGTGGTTTTTAAACTTTTGCAGCATAGGTTTAAACTCACAGTTGAGGAGAGTGGTGTGTTTGAAGTCTCTGTCCTGGTTTTTGTTTGAGGCATTCTTTAGAAGCTTTACATTTGTCTGTAAAAGTTAGTTCCACAAACTACAGCCGCTGGAAGTTCATCGTAAACTAGAAAACTACAAAACTTTTGATTTAGCTTCCTTACTTGACCTGGTTTCTGCGCTATATCATGTTTATAATAGTCATTTTTCAGACTTCCTTTTAAATCCATCCTATGTATGTTTTTTTCYAACAATAGACTTAATCCATACCGCTGTGCTGAAAGTCTGTTTTTTCCCCTTTTCATTGGTGTCTACAGCCGTTAGGGTCTGTTTTCTTGGAGTAGCAGCAGCACCGGTGCTTTGTCGTTAACCACGTAGGAGGCTTTCAGGCACAGTATTGAGCTCTGGGTTGCCTGTATTTTGGAAGCACTCTGAGCCCCACATACACTCACAGCAACACGAAAATGTAAGAAAATTGATTTTAAGAACAACAATATCTCTGTGGCTGTGTTTAAAAGCATACGGCACAAATAAAGCACAAGCCATTATGCTGCCAGCTGGATTGATTCTTGGGGCTGTCTATCAGATATGCATGAGACGGACAATAAAAATATGCCTGAAATCTCTTTGTGTCCACCACATCTTTAGACGTCGAGGTAAAAAGCATCAGGGATAAATGGTTCTCAAAAGCCTGTTGAATGTTTTTACTTTGGGATCTTCATCCTGCTATCCATTGTCTTTATCTGCTTCTTCTTGTCAGGGTCATGGGAGCCACAGGTGCCCATATCCATGGGKGACACCCCAGACAGGTCGCAAGTCCACCACAGGGACGCATAGAGACAAACAAGCATTCACTTTGACTCACACCGAGGGGCAATTTTCGAGTTACCAAGCCCCTCCCAGTCATATTTGTTGTCTGTGGGAGGAAACTGGAACGTCCAGAGAAAACCCACACATGCATAGAGATGGGTACCTTTGACATTTGAATAGATTCGGTACCAATATTCGGTACCTGGGAATCGGTACCGGTACTTAACGGTACCAATTTTCAGTACTTTGTGTGTTGTTTCTTAAATAATTAACTTTTTTTAACATATTTCTCAATATATAAAATTAACAAATATCAAGACAACATCCTTTGTATTGTAACGTCAGTTTTTTTAAACTAATTTCTTGGTGAAAACTCTTGAAAACAACTAACGTAGTGTTTTGTCTTATTGCACAAATTAAAATACAGCTCCAGATGTTTCAATTGATGTCATTTCCCCGCTAGAAAAATTGTGTGATGGAGGTCCATGGAAGGCAAATAAGTTTAAATCAAATAAGCAAAAGAGGATGGAGTTAAAATAAATAAAACGGTATTCAAGCTACATGTTGTAGCGTCCAATGCTTCAAGTTGGCTGCTTGTGCTCTTTCAGGTCWGACGTGTTCGGACTGTTGGCAAGTGCCTCTGTYGTTTTCCTCTGCCGGTCTCTGTTTAATGGAGGATGAARTAAAGAAAGTGGCGGTACTTYATTTACTTTGAGCAAGCGAACGTCGTGTTCACAAGATAATTAATCCACCAGATAATTCAGAGGCGATCTGTTCGACGAGTTTTACTCCAGGAGCTGCGAGGCTTTCAAGCTACGTTCAGACCGAGCTGTTTGTTTACTGAACCAGTGGCTGCTGACGCCATTGCATTCCTACGTGATGCTGCGTTCAGGACAAGCATGGAAAACTCACCACTCTTACKCCAATACGGTCRCAATGCTGCRTTCAGGACAAGCATGGAAAACTCACCACTCTTACGCTAGTACGGTCACAATGATGCGTTTAGGTACCGAAACATGGTACCGTTTGATGTTATGTGAATAGGTTCTCGGTAGTACAGACAGAATTCGGTCTGTACTTAAAAAAAAGTATCAAATTCGGTACCCATCCCTATGCATGCATGGAGAGGAAATGCAAACTCCACCCAGACTGGTCCCCGGCTGGGATTTGAGTGTAGGGCTGCACAACATCGGGAAAACGTGATGTGCAATAACAGTGCTTGATATTGCGATGAGGATATGACTTGTGATAAATAAATATGTAGTGTTGATGCCTTTCTGTTTTGGGTTAAAAGCAAACAATTAAAAAAATAAATAATTTTTTTTTCATTCCAACATTTTCATTCTAATATTTTATATAAAAAAACATGAAGCGCTCCATTTGATTGTTGAAATACTTCAAGCTTCCATCTTTGCATTTGTGAGTTTTGTCACAAACTTTTCAGCCAACCATTCACTGCAGTTTTTTTTTGTGATATTGCACAGGATATTATCGCAATGACGATAAATATTCGATATATTGTGCAGCCCTACCACCGTGCATATCTAAAAGTTGACCGATACATCGGCCAGTGGATGGTTTGGGCCGATATTTGTGTTCTACAATGGTTGCTCTCCAGTTTTATTGTTTTGTTTGTTTTTGTTAATAGATGWTTCTAGWYTTGYGTAACATTTGTTATCTTTCTGTCATTTTTATCAAGTAAATGGAGGAAGAAAAAGCAACATCAGCTTGATGAATCAGCCCAGAACGTATCAAGGATCTGTTAGACTGAWGCCAGACTAATCAGTACCAGMCTTAAAAAGCCTGTATTGGTTGATMTTTAATTTTCATGTTTTTAATTTTTGATCTAAAGCTTTTGCTCCGAGGTGGCACCACCACGTTTAATTTTTGATGTGCATCAAAAATTACAAACAATTTTTCACAGTAAAAATGCATTTTACTGTATCAGAATAAACACCATTGGGAAACCATATCCTGCTGCTTGTTCTTAAATTTATTTACGTATGTGTTTATTTATTTGTGTGTTTTTTCAGTGACCAATGGGAGTTACTTTCACATGGAAGAGGAAGTGGAGGAAAAATGTGAACAAGACACTAAGATCAGCTCGAACCAGCACTCCTACTCACAGGAAAGGTGTGTTGTAAAGTTTGCATTTTCTTCCAGAGTTGGCATAAAAACWCTTTAGATATAGCGCAATTAAATATAATGGCATTTGTTGTGAAGTATATAAAAAGTTTACCCTGAACAATATAAAGAGTTTACTTCATAAAACTAGTTGGTGGTACACAAAAGAAACAAACCTCAACATTCAAACACACTTTTTTTTAACTTATTCTAGCTTAGTATGTTTATTGTTTAATTTCATTTTAACAGTAACAAACTTTACAAAAAAGAGTGTAAATACTTAACACATCAAAATTGTCAGACATCTTATATGCAGCTCTTCTGTAGACAATGCCATTGTTGACCATTGTTTTAGTCACTTTCAAGTAGGGGGCGGAACATGTTGTCCTATGGGCGGAGACGTCCCAAATTGTCATTGCCCGAGGTCTTAAAGTGGGCGGAGACRTCTCTACTCGTGATTGGTGGAGGTCTAGATGTGGGCGGAGATGGCCCAAGAGACGTGATTGGTCGGATTGACGGTGGGGTTTGAGGCTGGAGGCAGCTGGGAGCAGCTTGGTGGAGTCGGGAAAGAAGAAACATTTTTTTAGATTAATTTTAGTCATAACTTAAGAAAGGAAAGTGCTAGCTTCACAAAATTTGAACGTTGTACATGTGAAAGGATATGTAA